CAAGCCCATGTTGTTTAAAAACAGCTGAGGCGCAGCAATCCGCTCTGCCGCGCCTATCAGCTGGGCTGAAAACAAACGAATATAGGTAAGTATAGGGCAGGAGCGGGCAGGAGGGCCCAGCTGATCGTCAGAGCAAACCGGTTCGCTCTCAGCTCACCATCGGAGCAACCGGTTTGCCCAAACCAGACTGAATAGGCTGACTCCCAACCTGGATCCAGGGCATAAACTTAATGAAAATGAATGTTCTAATAGGACTGGTTGGCCATCCATATTTAAAGCTTGCTGTGCTCATGTTAAAAAGGAAGTCAAATCTGTATATAATTAACTTTTCTTATTTTCTTTTTCAGCATATTTACCAGTAAGGGAGAAGGAGTATTGGATTTTCTCCGTGACAGGATTTACGGTTCACTTTTCTTGATTCACTGTCCATTATTTGACACGAGTTCTAATCATTCAGCAACTGTAAAATCATGTGAGTTGCCCCCTTTTCAAAGAGCCATTATAGATCAACTAGGCAGAAATTTGATCAAAGAGTAAGGGTGGACTGAGACATTTTCTTTGGTCCTTGAGCCAAAAGATGATATTCATCATTCACATCCCAAACAAATGGGTTTCCAATCTTTTCTTGAAAGCCTCCAGAAATGAAACACACACAACTCAAGGAGGCAAGCTGTCCCACTGATTAATCATTCTCTCTGTCAGGTAATTTCTCCTTCAATGACATTGAAAAACTGGAACTACCGTGTTTCCCTGAAAATAAGACTGGGTCTTATATTAATTTTTGCTCCACAAGACGCATTAGGGCTTATATTCTGGTTAGGTCTTATTTTGGGGGAAATACAGCATTAAATGCATCCATCTGGCTGGCAATCTTAACTGAGTCTTATTTTGGGGGTAGGGCTTATATTCAAGCATCCTGAAAAATCATGTCAGGACTCTGGTTGGATCCTATTTTCGGGAAAACAGGGTACTTGTTGCAAGCTGATTCCAAATACATTTCCAAAGTTTGCTAGTTCTAAACTTTAAAGCCCTAAATAGTTTAGAATTTTACTTTTAGAACTTCACATTATAGATACTTCTCTACGAAGCTGTCACGTGCTAGGTTCTGCAAAAGAGGCTCCTTTAAAAACATTCCTGTTCTCAGAGACTTGTTTCCCCGTTCAAAGTTAAGGGTCTCCTCTTGCATCAAGTCAAATCTTTATTATGGTCATAGAACCAGTACTCCTCTGGCTACTCAAGTCCTGGAGCCCACACCCTGTTCTGTATCCTTGGGACGTTTCTTATTATCAAGACCTTTCAAGATTCAGTAATAATATTTTTTCTTGTTTGCATTTGATTTTTAACTGCCTTGAATCGCCTACCATAGAAAAAAAGAAGTCTTACATTGTAATAAACTTGGCTTGTGTTTTTATCTCACTCCAGCTCAGGCAGAAATAGCAACACCTATTTATTTTCAATTCTTATCACTTCCCACTGACACTATCTGTTCATGTGTTCCATTTGGAACAATGCACGATTATAAAGTTCTCTGTGCTTCTAAATTGGACTCTTATGAAACTGACTTTCGGTATATAACTAGTGTGCTTCTTTACCACATTGAATCGCTGTAATGTTCTGTAGTAGGGAATCTTCCAAGCACAAGGAAAATCTCTTGTGTAAATCTCAGCAGATGGGATACATAATTGACTTCTTTCGTATTTCAGTGGGGTGTTAAAACATTTCCAACTCTTTTCAAAAGATTTTAAAACTGCCTTGTGCTTATACTGCAGGATAGGTTAGATTGAATATTCATATAGATTGAATATAAACAAACTATGATTTACCAATCCAATAAATTATGAGTTATAAACCATTATGTTTAGAATCACACAGCACACACAAGCCAAAACAAAGCAAAGCTACTAGAATTCCTTTGCCACCATGGCCATTCCTGAGCATTGGCATTCATGTTTATGTTTATGTTTTATGTTTTATTAAATTTGTATACCGCCCTACTCCCGAAGGACTCAGGGCGGTGAACAGGCACAGGATAAAATACAGAAATACAAAAGTTAAAAACAATTTAAAACCAAATTAAATAATTTAGCCCACGACAATTAAAATCCCAATAAATTTAAAACAAATTAAAATTTCAATTTAAAATTTAAAAGAAAGGGGAGAAAAATTAGGCCAGGCCGGCTTGCTGGAATAAGAGGGTCTTAAGAGCACGGCGGAAGGTGCGTAGATCCGGGATCCTCCGTATCTCCGTGGGGAGCTCGTTCCAGATAGTGGGTGCCCCCACAGAGAAGGCCCTCCCCCTGGGGGCCGCCAGTCGACACTGTTTGGCTGACGGCACCTGGAGGAGCCCCTCTCTATGAGAGCGTACCAGCCGGTGGGAGGCTATTTGTGGTAGTAGGCGGTCCCGTAAATAACCATATCCTAAGCCATGGAGCGCTTTAAAGGTGGTAACCAAAACCTTGAAGCGCACACAGAAGACTACCGGGAGCCAGTGCAGCTCGCGCAGGAGAGGTGTTACATGGGAGCCCCATGTTGCTCCCATAACCACCCGCGCGGCCGCACTCTGCACCAGTTGGAGCCTCCGCGTGCTCCTCAAGGGGAGCCCCATATAGAGAGCATTACAATAGTCCAGGCGGGACTATTATGCAGATATTCATATATCTGGATGATATTTAACTAAAACTTTTAAACTAGTATATTGAGAGCTAATACTTCCTGTATTAAAAAAATTAATATCCTGTTGATCTATAACAGGGATGTCAAACTCGATTTCATTGAGGGCCACATCAGGGTTATAATTTACATTCTGTTGTCCTTGGCCATCTACTATGTTGAGTAAGGTGGTTATAGAAATAGAATAACAGAGTTGGAAGGGACCTTGGAGGTCTTCTAGTCCAACCCCCTGCCAAGGCAGGAAACCCTACACCACTTCAGACAAATGGTTATCCAACATCTTCTTAAAAACTCCCAGTGTTGGAGTATTCACAACTTCTGGAGGCAAGTGGTTCCACTGATTAATTGTTCTAACTGTCAGGAAATTTCTCCTTAGTTCTAAGTCGCTTCTCTCCTTGATTAGTTTCCACCCATTGCTTTTTGTCCTGCCCTCAGGTGCTTTGGAGAATAGCTTGACTCCCTCTTTTTTGTGGCAGCCCCTGAGATATTGGAACTGCTATCATGTCTTCCCTAGTCCTTCTTTTCATTAAACTAGAAATACCCAGTTCCTGCAACTGTTCTTCATATGTTGTGTTTGACCTCGAGGGGCCACAGTGGGTGTGGCCAGGGTGGGCATGGCCAGCTCGCCATCACTCGTATCAGAGGTGCCTGTGGTGGCCTGAGCCCTTTGCCAGAGAAAACAGGCTCCTGAGCTCCATTTTTGGCTGTGATAGCCTCCTCTCCCCCTGCTAGTGAAAACGGAGCTTGGGAGGGCCACATGCGGCTCTCCCAAGATGTGTTGTCACTGGCAGAGGCACCGAGGGCCAGTCTTTCACTGTTTCCAGGGTGGCCCGTGGCCAGATCTAAGCACCCCGCAGGCCAGATCTGGCCTCCGGGCCTTGAGTTTGACACCCCTGATCTATAGATCCTTACCCTAAATGGCCTAATTTTTTAAAAAATATAATAGATATAATATAAAAGAAATGAGCATGAGCAGCTATTACTTTAAATTTAGAATGCAGAAAACATGGAACATTTGAGCCAGTTCCCATTCATTGCTTGCAGAGCAAATATTTAGAAGAGATTCCCCTGAAACATATCTATATACTACTAAAATTCTTGTCTATTTGATTGTATATAATGCAGTTTGGCAAAACAGTGCATCGTAAACAAACATTTTTGAATCCACATACTTCAAATGAGCTTATAGAATGCATCCAAAATCTGACTTATTTATTTATTTATTTATTTATTTATTTATTTATTTATTTATTTATTTATTAGATTTATATTGCCGCTTATTCGCACATGGCGACTCAAGGCATCTTACAAAAATATAAAAATATAATATAAAAAACAATAAAACTAATAAAAGAATCATATATAATAAAATAAACTCCCCGCCCCTGTCCCAGCAACAACATATCATATGAGCCATTTAATGGTCTCCATCCTGCTCCGCGTTCCCTAGGCCCACTGGCAGAACCAGGACTTCAGCGCCTTCCAGAAGAATGTTAGAGTAGGGGCCATTTTAATCTCTGGGGGAATGATGTTCCAGAGAGAGGGAGCCACCATTGAGAAGGCCCTTCTTCTGGGTCCCACTAGGAGATGGGACCTGCAACATTCCTTGCGTCCCCACTGTAGTGGGTTGAGTATATGTGACCGGCAAGAGACAGTCCCTCAGATAACCTGGTCCCAAACAATGAAGGGCTTTAAAGGTGACAACCAGCACCTTGAATTGTACCTGGAAGCAAATTGGCAATGCAGCCCCCCGCAGGAGCCCCCGCAGGAGAGGTGATACATGTGCACACCGAGGTGCAGCCCCCGCAGGAGAGGTGATACATGTGCACACCGAGGTCTGCACAAAACCATGCACTTATATCTTCCATGGGATTAAAATTTGGCAAAACTGTGCCTGCTTAGTGGTACCATCAGTTATATTCACATGCTCATCTTTTCCAATGCTCCTTGCCAGCTTACTACAACAAAGTCAAGGGGTAAATTGGCAGGAAGTGGGAAGTTGCTCCTGCCCCTGCTACTTTTTTGCCCATTTGTGGTCATTTTGTTTCTCTGTTTAGATAAAGAAATATCTCTGAAACACTGTCCGAGAATATCACAGGTTGTCTAGTTGTCTTTTAAATTCCGTCTGCAGAGGTGTGCTCATTCAGACATGCAAATCAATATGAGTGTTGTGTTCAGCAACCAGTGACCATATATATGGACTGGCTCCCAGTTGTAATGCAGAGGAGATAACACAAGTGATTGCTTGGTGTTATCTTGCAATGGTAACCAAGGTTTCCATATATACATCACAGTTTAAAAGTGACATCATAATGCCACATTATAATGCATCCTGCTCAGTGTGTTTATCTTTTGCTCATATTAAAAGCAGCACCAGGAAGAGGCTGTATGGTGAGGTTGGAACAGGGAAACAAATGAGGCAGATAAAGGAAGAGAGGAATGGTGGAACTGTCATAGCCTGAGGTGTAACAACTGATGGAGAACTGCCAGGTATGACATATTATTTCATGAGCATTACAAAGGGAGTGGTGAATTAAAGAGAATGCTTCTTCATGATCAAACATACTTGGAGGCACATGAGTTTTCTTTCCAATCCAGAGTTGAACTATACACCCTATTTATAAAACAACATAATTTCCTATAACTATATAGAGCAATCTGTGGAAAATACGGGTGCCCCCCTTCACATTTTAGCAATCTCTCTGAAATACTGACATTGGGGAATTGATTCAGAATGGCTGGTTATATTCATTTATTGTGAAACAGGTTTACCTTCTTTTATAGGTATTCAGAGCTAACTACAAATAATGAAACTTGAATTGTGAGCATCTTTTATGATTTTGTCTGCTGTGAGAATCTAGGTTATATGTCTTTACCATTTCTAGAAAAGGTAATAAACTAACTAGGGCAATCAAAAGTAGCTTCTAATCTAATCCACAAACCATGTTAAAGTGGATTAAGGTAATCCATTTATCTACATTGTAAGAAACATTGTAAAATATTTATTGAAGGCTGATCTATGAATGAATATAATGAATATAACATATGCTTACACCAGCATGAATACATCAAATAGCATATATATTAATCTTACATAAATTGGTCTTTATCTTTAATTAATCCACTTTGTAGCTTTTTATATGATATAAATTACTTTTCATATATATGCGCATTATGTTTTTTCATTATGGTTTTAACCATTCTCCATTTCTCCAGAATGAGTGATGTTGTTGTACAGAGACGTCTATTTGATATCTGAAGTTATGAGTAGCTATAACTAAAATTAGTATGTTTAGAGATAAAATCTTCTGAGATGAGTAACCCATTGTTACTAGAACATTTTTTTTTAAAGGTTGAGAAGATCTACAGAGGTCATTCACTATTCAGAGTACAAAGTGGGACATTTTTCTCTTGTCGGGAAAAGGGGGCTCATGTTGACACATTAATTTCTCTCTTCCCATGTTTGATCTTTTCTTTCTGATCCTGGGCCTGATTTAATAGTGATTTTATAAAACAAAAAGCCAAAATAATAATTCAGTAATGTTCTATGAAAACCCTTCATAGGCAATACTGATCAGCTAAATCAAGTAAATTGTCAAGTGATTCATATGTGGTACAAATATTTCAGACATCCAGGAGACAGAGACTAAGTTAGTCTGTTCCCTTTAAAAAAAAAAATCCTTCCAAAAGCATAATACTTTTATTATGTGACAGAAGGAGAAATAAATACTTAATAAATACTTTTATTATGTGACAGAAGAAGAAATAAATACTTAATAAATACTTTTATTATGTGACAGAAGGAGAAATAAATATGTTCTAACTGTGATGGATCTCAAAATGCAAGTACTTTACTTGAGAAATAGGATGCTGTGCTCTTCTCTTCACTACAACAATAAATACAGATAGGAAATTGATGTATAGTTAGCACAAGTACCTCTCCTATGTGTTGGTTTTTGTTTTTGTTGTGGTAAGGGAGAAATGTAACTTATCTGCAACTTGTGATCATTTGTGAAAAAGTTACAACCACCGTAGTAGTAAGATGACAACTAAGGTCAAGCTATATGTTCCCAGACTTTTAGGTACCTAGGGGCACTGCCAGCTGACCAGTGCTTATGTCACTTCTGACTTCACTTAAGTCACTTCTGACTTCACAATGAAAAGCAGGGCTTTATAGCTTTGCTTCAGTCCATTATTGTTCATTTTCTGTAAGCAAGGGCAGCCTTGTCTCAACATCTCAAAACCCCTCGATAAAAAGAGGCAGGAATAGCCTTTGCACAGACGTGGAAAGAGAAAGATACCCCAACTGAAGAGGAAATACTACTAACAATTTTCAACTGCGCAGAAATGGATAGATTCAAGGATAAAGTTATCCTTGGAACTCAAGGATAAAAGCGAAACATTGTACTATAAAATCTGGGTAAAATTTTACGAATTTTACGGTTTACGGTTAGATAAAAGGAGGATAGCCGAGACAAAAGTGTAGTGTTAGACTAGAATTATATACGTTATTATAGATAAATATGTATGTGAATTGTATAGATAGGTATATGTAGGTATAGATATGTACTGTATAATTATATAGGAATAAGGTATAAATTACTATTATTATACTATGTTTAAATAATGTATAAGGTGTAAGGAATATATTATTATGTATTAGTTTAAAGTTTTGGAAGATGCTTGGGACCAGTGATGTCATATCTATGTCCAATGTTTTTAATTTTGAACTACTAATAAAAAACTTTTTTTAAAAAAAAAGGCAGGAAAAAGAAGTATTTCGTATGTTTGATGTTTGTGATAGTAGTAAGCCACCAAGGTTTTCATGCTGGTGTAGTCTGGACCTTTTATCCAGCTGTGATAATCAGCTGCCATGTCAGGAGATCAAGAACTAGATAGGGAGGCCATCATATTGCAGCAAAAAGAAGACAGCCACTAGCATGATGTTAAGCTGAGGTAATCATATAATTGCTGAAGGGGGTCAATTAATCAGTAATTGGAAGTATGCTATCATCTGAAAATGATCTAGGATATCTGTTTGTTCCTTTTTGAGGAAAAATAGTCCCAGGATGTTATTTCCAGGGAAGGAGTAAAAACAGAAGGAAATAATTGCTATTTTTCCTTTTCTTTTTTTCTTTGCAATTCCTTCAATTACTTTCTTTCCAGCTGTTGTAGCATTTGAGATTCATGTTTTATTGTGAAAGTAAAGTCTAGGATAACTTGTTTTAGCATTTTTTTTTCTAGATTTCCAATCCTAACTAGAAAGTAGTTAAGGAAAATGTGGATCCATTTTTGTCATCAGAATAAGATTTAAATTTATTTATTCATATTTAGTTTACCTTCCTGTTTTTTATCTACTAGAGATATAAAAAAAGGCAAATAACATAATAACATAATCAGTGTTATCTATAAGCTCATAATTTAACATTAATTGTAATAATTACTACAACATACTAATATTGTTAGTATTTATTGGCCTGGCTAAAGAGATCTGTTTTAAGAAATTTAAAGAATATAAAGAGATTCTGTTTCCAGAAATTTACATTCATTTGTTTGATAAATGGGTGCAGTACACACTTCAAAAAGCATATTTTACTCCTTCATAGTCCATCTGATTAATAGATATTAACAGATACTATGGCAGCAGCCATTTCCCCTTTGAAATATTTTAAGATTTTCACCCCGATTCTTTTTCAACCAACTGTGTTAGAATGGAAAACCTATTGAAATGAGAAAGTGAGTGCAGCTGTACAGTATTTGAAAACACCCAAAGTATTGACTCATGGGAATATTTCAGGGTGAAAACAAATAAAGTCAATAATGTGTTCTTGTGTACCTCTCAAATAGGACTAGCCATGCATGTTGAAGGGGACATGCTCCTAAGAGCACAATTTTGTCTAAATAAAATACATTATTTAGTCTTGGGGCTGCTATATTTGCTTTCTGGTTGATACTCTTTTCTAGTAGTCAGTCATACATAAGAAATCTTTGTGCTGCAATGTGACTTAATCACAAATGACAAACCATATATGCAGCATTACCTTACATTCAATGTTTACTGATCTTTGATAAGGTTAACCTGTCCCCACCTCTTGAAGTTCTACAGCACCTGTTCACGCCTTACCTATAAAGGAAGAACGGAATCTTGCAAAAATACCAAGTACTATTTCAAATTCCTGTAATATTTTATTTTTCCCTCTGAGCAGAGGTGGGTTTCAGCAGGCTCTGACCAGTTTTGGAGAACTGGTAGCGGAAATTTTGAGTAGTTCGGAGAGCCGGTAGTAAAAATTCTGACTGGCCCCACTCCATCTATTCTTTGCCTCCCAAGTCCCAGCTGATAAGGGAGGAAATGGGGATTTTGTAGTAACCTTTCCCTGGATTGGGGAGGGAATGGAGATTTTACAGTATCCTTCCCCTGGAGTGGGGAGGGAATGGAGATTTTACAGTATCCTTCCCCTGGAGTGGGGTGGAATGCAGATTTTACAGTATCCTTCCCCTGCCACACCCACCAAGCCACATCCACAGAACCGGTAGTAAACATTTTTTGAAACCCACCACTGCCTCTGAGGTACAGATTAGATTCCCCCCCCCCCCCACTCTGTGAAATATTCATTCCACTTTCCTGTCACCCAATACAAAGTCTGCAGACCTGTAGGTTGGCATGGAACGGTATGAATAATCTTTTCTAGTTGGGTAGAGCTCTCTACTATGAGTTTAAATCCAGCACTTTCTGAAAACAAAATGTTAGACTAATGGAGGATTGTTGCCAACACGGTTCTTTTTTCTTTAAGTGTCTTTAAATTGATAGTGTGCTATTTTCTTAGCTTTCTTGAGGAAGGATTTTTTGTTTATATATAATAAACCTAATATAAATCAATATAATATTAAAAGTTTATGATCCTGTGGCCCGAATATTGGACATGCCTGTTCTAAATGATTTTGAAATGTATCATACAAGAATCTAATTTAATGTGTATAACCTTAAACTACAGGAAGCAAAATATTCTGGTTTCTGTTAACTTTTGACAACATTCTCACTGTTGCTATGTTTACTTCTTATAATTCTGTAGCCATTTCAGTGCTCTGTTTAATCACAGAACTGTGTTATATATTATTAATAAGCTTGCCTTAACAATAGGGTAAAAGTAGAAAATAAAGATGATTTTGATGGAAATAAGCAGGAATTATTACCTAGGTAAAACTTGCTAAAACACTTTTTTTAAAGTCCAGAATAACAAGATAACATTCGGAAATGGCTCAAGCAGATGTCCCTCTAATTCACGGGGGTATGAATTAAGGAAGGGAAGGACTGTCAGCGCAATCTCACTTGTTATTATAGCCCATCTCCATCAAAGAAAGTTTAGTCTTCCTGTGAAGCTAATTTCCTGATCTGGTCTTCCTAACTGAACTGGCAGCAAAAAAGAAATTAAGAAATTCATATCATAAACACAGAACTGAACCTAAAACAAACAATGAAACAGCTGATTAAT